CCGATCAATAAATTTACAACGATCACCGTCTTGGCAAGTCACTCTTAATGAACGAGTCATTCAGTCATTCATTAAGAAAGCAAGCGAGTGTCCTTAAGAATGGGTCATTAAACCACTGGCTCACTTGATTTGTTTAAAAATGTGAATTCATTAAGCGCAAGAAACAACAGTTCTGCTGTAGCTTTGTTCAGAACTACTTTCATTTGCGAAATTGAGCAAGACAGACAATATTTGAGTCCAAAATGTAAAAATATCATCTTATTTTTCATTGAACTGTTGTACAAAAGCATCACATTTGCAGCCATGCAGATATTCTGGAAAAACAGCACTCTTGCTCGAGTGATATGGCTAAACTAGCCTACATTATATGATATTCATATAAGACAAAAAAAAAACATGGGGCATTTTTTGCTCTCAAATCTTGAATTCCAGGGACAGCTAACTGCATTCTAATAGGCTTCATCATGCAACTTTTTCAGGATTTTGAACATCACTTTAAAATTTTCTCGTAGGGGCACAAGTGCTCCTTAATTATGCATAAGTAGAGCTGTGAACTAGGGCTAGGCTCATGTTTGTTTGTTCTTACTGCTGAGCAACAGTAATAAAGCCAACCCAGAGGTGTGAAATGATAGCTTGCTTTGAGTGTGAAATGCTTATGAGTCACTAGTGAATTCTAAGACTTAAAACAAAAAGGTGCTGTTCGACAAGTCATCAAATGAGCGTACCATTTTGGGCTTTTCTTCCTTCAGGGCAAACAGCCGTTTCCACCAGCCGAGCACACGGCGCTGAGTCTTCACAAGGTTCCCACAGATCTCATGGAAACGCTGCTGCTGTTCTGTGGTCCTGTGCAGGAACAAAATAGTGCTCAGAAAACATACACGATAAACAATGTCTTTATGGGTAACACCAACACATCATAAATGTTCACTCATAAATGAAGAGGGAATCTGTTTCCATTTCTGCTTAGCCACTGCATTTTATTTCTGGGCATAAAACATGACCATATTGAAGGCTTAAAGCTTACAGGAAGCTGCCAGATACTAAAATAAACACCAGGGGTCTGATCTCGACTTGCTCTGCAGAATGTGATGTGCATAGCAAGACCTCTCACTGCAGAGTGGAGATCAGCACAGTGAAGATGTGCTGAGTCAAACCAACACTGTATCTGACACAGGACACTCAGCAGCAACTGCAACCTGTCACTCAAAGACACCAGAGACCCCGGCTCCTGAACTAGAGCAAGGAAAGATGCCTGGGGAGATGGACTAAAATGAAACCAGAAGAGGCAAGCACATACATGCTGTGCAAATACCGGTCTTCTCAGAGGATCTGAAGTGGTGCAGTTTAATCGATTGAGAGAAAAACACTTGTGTTTTGAAGAGAAACATGCTATTCGATTAACCTCACTAGCAGATGAAGAGATTGTTACTTTAGAGCCTGTAGTCGAAAGCAGGACTTGCTATTGTCCCTTCACTCACCATTTGTTAGAACCAAAAACCCGGGGAGCAAGAGTTGGCACCAGGTAATCAGCCAGGCACAGGATCATGACAGCACAGGACAGACCAGTAAGCACAGAGGGGTCCAAGAAGTAGATTAGCCTGCCAATGAAGAAAGAGGCCATTAAACTCTTGCATTCACTTCATTTTTGGATGACGGTATGCAAATTATGTCACAACAAAAAACACAGACTGACGCATGATTAGCTCATAGCACAGGATATTTGCTGAAAGTAAAAGGAGGAAGAGGAAAAAAGGAATTCCTCCTTTAAAAGACATCACTATTAAGAACTTGCCTTTTCTTTGATCATTTTTCTAAAGCTGAAGAATCTTAGTCTTTATGTACTTTCTTGGACTGTTGGTCTGTGTATTAGATCTGGATATTTTAAAGTGACTCTTTGTGCAGGTTACATAGCCAGTAAAAGGCAACAAGTGACAAGTCAAAGTGACAAGTATGAGTGAGTCATTGAATCATTAAGTGAACTGATTCATTCAAAAACATTAATTTAGTCTTTATGAGCAACTCATTGAATATACTATATTGTAGGCAAAAACAGTCTGTGAAAAGAGTAATATGTTCAAATTCACTGTTTACATAAAACAGTAGGTGAAAAAAAACACAACCGTGTGTTGCTTGGAGACTAGGGGTGCAACAGTTTCACGGTTCCACGGTTCAGTTTGTATCACGGTTTCGGTACGGTTCGGTATGTGCTATGTTTAGGGAAAAACTATACTGTAATAAAGAAAGGTAGGTCTAACATTAGTTTTTAGGCACAGAAATTGAATAAAGTAATGAAATGTAAAAATGCATTGTATATTTCACTGTATAAATTAAAGATGAATCTTTATTAAAGTTACAAAAGCTATTCAGTCAAGAGCAGTGAGTGAATTCTTTGTTGTTGCTGTTTGATTAACGTTAAGAAAGTGCTGTCACTTTAAGAGAATGCACTGATACAGTGCACTGATACAGTATGTTCAGCCGGCTATGTCGGCATTTTGACGCAATTTTTGTGTGAATTTGTCCATTTAAACACAATACTTCAGAGAGAGCTTAATGTTTGTGCGCGTTCTGGTTCTGTGGCACGGGTTTGCGCACTTCGGATGAGCGCACGCACAAATCTTCTCACTGCGCGCGCCAGCTTGCATCCTCTGGCTCTTAAATGTTTAAACTGGCAAAGCTTAAATGAGTTTAGTTTTAAACACAGATATCAACGTGTGCTGTTCAGGTCTCACCTGTGCGCGCGCGCTATCAGCACCCGGGTGATGACGGAATAAATGACTGCACATATCCCATCATACGGCTTTCGCATTGAACAAAAGTGAATGGTTTGTCCACGTCTTCCATCACTGTTGTTCACACAGAATGCGCATCCATCAACCGAAACATAAGGGCCTTTCGCACCGCAGGAACCTTTTCATAGTACCAGAACTAATTGTGGAACTACCCACTTTTCGGCGTGTTCGCACCGCCGGAACTGGGAGCGATTTTAGTACCGGACTGCCTTTTTCGAGAACCAAATTAGCTCCTAATCCGGAGCAGGGTCTAACCAGCACAACTGGTACTAATCGTGACGTAAGTAGACATTGATTGGACAAACGCGTATGAAAACGCCCTCACCCGCCATGATTTAAAACGCAGTGTAAACATACTGTAAGCATTGTGTCAACTTATTTCGCAAGTATGGAGAACAGCGATAGATGGACGGACGCTTTAAAAGGTACTGGGAAATAGATCCCGCAAAATCGTCCCAGTACTTTAGTACCGTACATTTAGTTCTGGAACTTAAGCGGTGCGAAAGGGCCTATACATTAGCCGAACCCTGTTTGTTTTACGTGTTATTTAAAGCAAACCATATTACAGATGCGTTGTCAGATTTAAGTTGAACCGCGGACCTAGCGTGTGCCGAACCGTGTGTGGAGAACCGTACGGTTTGATTTTTTTCCGTGAACCGTTCCACCCCTAATTGTTGTGGTGGTAGAGAGGAGACACAGACACAGAGGGGTTCGGGATCGTGGCTTGACCGTTTATTCCACAGCACGGCATCTATAGTGTTGATAACATGAACTGACTTAAGTTTTAAACTAGTAAAGTACATTTCAATGCACATTCAACTCAATAACAAAAATCTCTCGCTGCTTATATTATCATACATAGCTTTGCATCAGCCACCCCGTATTAATCACGCTCCAAAGAAAGGACAAAAAACATTTTAACTCTCCATATTACTCTGCATTTAGGTCTTTAGCAGTTTAGAACACAAAATATCTCCATAGACAGAACTTTAGAGCGATAACAACAAAGATATTTTAAATTGAAATTTACACTACTGTTAACGTGACTTACCTATAGTATTGATAACATGAACTGTAGAAAAGATGGCGCACTACACACCTATCAACACTACGGTACATCAAAAGGCTCAAACAGCGCTAAAAATACTTGAATCTGCCCTAACACAACAGTGTCATAGCGACATTTTGTGGACAACACAATACACTGCCCTACATCCACCCCTTCTTTAATTGATGGCGTCCCAGCCATCTGATTAACCAAAACTTTGTGGTCTGATCTATGACAATCAAAACAATAAATGTGTTTTGAGTGAATGTATAGTGTATTAGCGTATGTATTGTGTGCAGGGTAGCTAACTGTTATCAGGGTGCATGCAGCTTTTCTGGCAATTTTAGTTGCTCCACCACCTCTTTATGACAGTCTCTGACACTGCGATACAGGATCCCTTTTTTTTAATCACTAACCTTCTCCACTCTTTTAAAAGGAGACCCCCAGTGGTGTCCACCTTCATCCTCTCACTGTGGCTTGGTTTGTGGTTCCTGCTCTTAAAGTGGAGGATGGGACCGATGACTCTGTCTTCCTTCTGCCCCGCTTGAAGCTCCTGTGTGGTCATAGCAGGCAATGCCTCCATCCCCACATCCACATACACCTCACTGGTCTCCAGCGGCTGACCGCTTTCAGGCTCCTCCATAACCGCTGTGTCCTCACCTGAGACCTCCTCAGGCTCCTGGGTGGTTTGTTCCTCCTCATGACTCGGTCTACCAGTCCTCAACTGCTGTGGGCAGGACTGCAGGGTCTCCGTCACCTCCTGATTGGAGATACGCAATAGTGCGTCAGCGTTGGAGTTATCCTGTTCCCTCCGATACTGGATATCAAAGTCAAATATGGACAGATGAGAAACCCATCACTGACCTGTGGCGTTGAGTTTGGCTGAGGTCATTACATATTTCAGAGTGTTATTGTCTGTCAGAACAGAGAACTTGCGTCCGTAGAGGTGGTCATGGAACTTATCCGTCACGGCCCACTTGAGAGCGAGGAACTCAAGCTTGTGTGCCGATACCTTGTCTCGGGTGGGTTCAGGCCTCTGCTCGCATACGCAATAACCCTTTCCACCCCATCTTGGACCTGTACTAGCACAGCACCAAGCCCCATTCCTGAGGCATCGGTCTGCAGCAGAAAGGGCTGACTGTAGTTCGGATAGCCTAGCACTGGTGCACTTCTCAGCTTTTCTTTTAAAGACTGAAAGGCCTCCTCGCATTCAGCAGTCCACAGAAATGGCTGGTCAGGGCCTGGGCTTTTCTGGGTTACTCTTTTATTCTTTCCAGGGTCACCGGAGGTAAGGCGGTATAACGGAGCAGCCAAGTTAGAATAGCCCTTAACATACCTCCTATAGTAACCCGCAAAGTCTAAAAACTGTAGCACTTCCATATGATTAGTAGGCCTCGCCCAATCCTTGACCTTGTCTTCTCTGTTCTGTCCTGATGCCCTCCGCAGACACCAAGTGACCCAAGTACTGCACTTCCTTCCTCACAAGCTGGCACTTGGATGGTTTCAGTTTTAAGCCATGCTCCCGAAGCCTATCGAAAGCCAGCTGGAGCCTCTCTAAATGTTCATTAAAGGACTTAGAGAAAATAATAATATCGTCAAGGTAAATAAGGAGATGGGTGAAATTTAAGTCCCCGAAACAGGAGGTCATCAGCCTTTGAAAGGTGGAGGGTGCATTTTGCAGCCCAAAAGGCATTCTATTGGCCTCAAACAGCCCCATGGGAGTGCTGAATGCTGTCTTGTGCTTGTCTTGTTCCGCAACCTCTACCTGCCAGTATCCAGATGTAAGGTCAAGGGTGGAGAAGTACTTTGCTTGTCCTAAAGCCTTTTGAGCCTCCTCTATCCTTGGCAGAGGGAATGCATCTCGGGTGCTGCAGGAGTTGAGCTTCCTGTAGTCAATACACAATCGGAGTGACCCATCCTTCTTGGTCACAACCACTACAGGGGTGCGTACAGACTTTTACTGGGGCGAATGACTCCTGCTGTCTCCATCTCCATCAATAACCACCTTACATCTTGCCACTGGGAGGAGGGTATTTTGTGGTATGGCATTCGGAAGGGCCTCGGGTCAACCAGGGGAATCTCATGTTGTATTGTTGTGGTGTGACCATAGTCCATGGGATGTTGGGAGAACACATCCGCATTCTTGTCCAGCAGATCCTTAAGTAGAGCACGTTGGTCCTCATTTTCCACTGCTGCTTCACTTAGATCAACCCCGCAGTTAGTCACTACTTGGTCCAGACTGAGACATGCCCCTCTGTTCCCAGCTTCACCATGCTTTTTATAAGGGAACTCTACCACCTTATCCACCAGGACTGCACTGGCCAGACTTGTGTGTCGTTTGATCACAATGACTCGCTGAGAAAGATTCATCACTCTAACTGGAGCACAACCTCTTTTCACATTCACAAGCATTTTGGCCACTAAGACATCCTGAGGGAGCTGCAAGGAGGGATGGCCTTCTATCAGGGCTGTATAGGTCTTCCTTTGAGGGCCAGTTTTAATCCTACACTTTAAATCCATCTCTTTTCCACCAGGGATGTGTATTGTATGACCAGTGTAAACAGCAGGACCCACAACGTCATGCATTTCACTTTGCTTGGTGCTCTCCACCTTTAGTAAAGCTGTGTACCCCTCTGGATGCTTCTCTTTGACCTGGAGCAGAAACTGCACGCCATAAGCTGCTTGAAGGTGGGTTCGGGAGGCTCAAATTAAATTGGTTCCCACCAACAGAGGGACTGAAGAGCGATAGTCGGAATCAGGAACAACGAAGGTAGGTACAGCCTTGAACTCTTTCCCCAG